TGATGTCCGCTATTGACTCAATTCTTTTGCAGAATTAGAGCAGTAAACGAGCCGAATAGCGCCGAACTTGTCATGTTTGAGCTCGGCTCGTGTTCGTTCGTTAAAAGATACGAGCTGAAATTTTTGTTTGAGCTCGGCTCGTTTAACAATTTTTTTGTTCGTGTTCGACTCGACTCGGCTTGTTAAGAGAAATTTTATTTTATTTATTTAATTTTTTTAAAAAAAATTAAATTTAGTTAATTATAATTATAATTTTTATTAATAAATTTAAATAAAAAATAGAATAAAATATAATATAAAATTATTAATTTATTTTTTCTAATAAATATTATCGAACGTTCGCGAACAAGCTCGAGCTCGTTCGTGAATATAACGAGCCAAAATTCATGTTTGTGTTCGGCTCGTTTAGCTTAACGAACGAGCTCTTAGTGAGCTTAAACGAGCCAAGCTCGGAAACTGTTTGTTTGTTTTACAGCTCTATGCAGAATTATCGCTTGGTCATATCGGAGGGAAGACAATGTTGAGAGCTTAATGCTTGCAAATTTGGATGCGTAAATGGATGGGACCCCTTCACTTGGGTTTGAATCCTTAGTCCAAGCCTTCCATTTCCTAGCTCCTCCGTCTTGAGTTCATGTCATTTGTTATTGGTCGTTGGCCTCGTGATATCGGCTAGATATTGAGAGATTTTCATAGTAAAATCTTGAAAAGAGGCTCAAAGTCCTGTTCAAATTTGATCCCGAAAGATATGGAAAGGCCAATAGTCATATGTTTCTATTATTTCTTCATAATAGGTGTTAGATCGTCTACAAATTGTTATCACACAAAATATTCTTTCAGACGCTGTGTTAGATTCCGGCCGATTAGAAGGTTTTCGTAATAAATTCTCTGACCTACTAAAGAAAATATTCAGACTTGGTGTTATGAATTTTAAAATAAACGTATGAAATAAAGGTAAAGGATACATTAAATTTAATTTAAGAAAAACTAATAACATTGGAAAACTAAAAATAAATATTGGAAACTGAACGAAATAGAAAGAAAAATAAGAATTCAATGCATAAAATAAAATATTGAAATATAATATTAAATTTAAAAAAATGGGATTTAAAGGCATTCAATTAGAGGAAATAAATTTAACTAACAAAAAGAAAAGACAAGAAACTAAAAAATAAAAAGAATGAAAAATAGAAAAATGGAGAGAAAAAAAAAAAAAAAACTTCATCCTAATATTTATTTTTGTGTGTATTGTTCTTCCTAATTCATATATATTTATCTTTTATACCATACAATAGAATTTTCGTTGGACATATAACCACCCTTACTACTCTATTATTCCATTATCGCAAAAAAATATATATATATTCACTGTACTTACGTTTTAGCATTAACTTTAATTTCAACCAGAGGTAGCAATTTCAGACCCAAAACAAACCCTATTTTTACTATACTTACGGTCTTATTTTTAACCCTATTTTTACTATACTTATGGTCTTATTTTTACTTTTTTTCATGTTAGACTAGAGCGGTCCATTTTCATCTTTGCTGAGAAAGTTCCGGCCTAATTTTATATGCCGGGTTCAAATCTTGCCAGGCTAGGATAGTCCGATTTTTAGTTTTTTATTTTAAAATTTATTTTTTATTTTACTTCTAAAATAATTTAATTTAAATTTTATGGGGTAAGTTCAAATTTTAATTTAATTAACACTTAAATCATTAAATTATACTTTATTTTTAACATTTATTAATCTGTTTATATATTTATATATATATATAATTATTTGTTTTGAAACTACTTAATATGTTGTGTTGAACTGGCATGACTCAAATTTTTTTAAACTTATCTTTTAGACCCAAACACAATATTTTCGTGCAGTTTGGATTGAATTTTTGGTCCGTATCAGGTCTAATTCCAACTAAAAAAAAAAAACTCTAATTCCAACTCCATTATTGATCTTTGTTCAAGAGATTGATGTCCAACAATTTATTAATAATAATAACAAGGAGAAGAACTCTCATTCTAACCCCACTCTCATCGGATTTGCTAGAAGCCCTAGACTTCTACTAGTTGATGTCCTTATCTTTTCTTTTGGAACCTTTGTTCCTACTTCTAAGAGCTCTTGGTTTTTGTCTCGTAAGAGATGATTTGGCGATATGAGATTAGACTCGTGATTGTGAGATAATGGGTTCAAACATGTCTTCGGGTCTTGTATGTTATATCTGGTTCGTCTAGTGTGTCTTGTCTTGTCGAACCTAGTCTGCAGACTATTAGTTTCGATTGGAGGATTACCTAGGGCACTCTAAAAAAATAGCGGTTTTGGATTTTTACGTTATAAAAAAAAAAAAGAGCTCTTGGGGCTTGCTCTATAAGGTATACTATTTAAAGCATCTATTTATTAGGGTCTAAGTCTCTCATTGTTACTTTGAGCTTCGCTCATTCCATGGATCAAGATGAGAATTTTGCATAAGGCATTCTAATTTGAGCATATTTTCTACCGAAACTAATAATTATATTTGTATTATATTAATAAAAAAATTGTATTGTTACCTTATACGCCATGTCATGTCCACCTATATATTACATATTGTCATCACACTGCTGAATAATATAATTCATCACTGTAACTGTCGCATTCTTTACTGCTTCATAAAAATATTCATTCATGTAATATACTCCTTCCATCCCAATTCAAAGTACTTTTTTTTTTTTTTTTTTATCATTTTCGTCATCCCACTTAAAAGTATTCATTTCTTATTTTAGTAAAAACAATTATACACTAATACCAAAATATCCTTAATTTTTTGTTAAATTGCAAATATATCGTAAGGGATGGCCTAGTGGTGTAGGGATGGACTTATGATCGTGAGGTCGAAGGTTTGAAAAAAAAAATTATACACTATAATCACATTTAAAAAATTTTAATTTTAATTAGACTAATTAGTTGTCTTAATTTTAATCTAAAATTATTTTTATTATATAATATTTATTTTCACTAATACATTCTTAATTATTTACTAATTATACTTCTCCTAAATTTTCGTGTCTACCTCAAATAGGACACAGTAGTCGGGATGGAGAGAGTAATATAACTAAAAAATAAAAAAAAATATTTATGATTAACATAAATTCATTTTATGAAAATATTATCAGTATAATTCTTCATAACTTACATTAAAAAATATCTCAAACTAAAATACCAAACTAGCAAACATAATTGATTAATTTCTCTTAAAAATATAATCAATCACTAATTTTTTATTTTTTATATTACATTAAAAAAAAAAATTGCATTCAAACTATCATATCTTCAGGGGTGCACCAATTTTTCTATACACCATGTTACCACTGATGAAGAGTCACATTAACTACAATCGAATGTGACTTTTCATCAGTGGTAACATGGGAGGCTAGACTGTGAGTTTAACGAAATACGTGATGTATTAAATCACCCCAAAGGGATTCAAGCTTATTCATATTGTTAGGGAAACAAACTTTATGGCAGATAATTTGGCTAAACGTGGTGCAAGGGAAATGCCAGAAATAGAGGCATGGATTTAATCTCTCGTGAAGGGAAATCACCTGAAGAACATGTGAGATTTGAATAATGCTTTTGGTCAAACGATGGAGTTTTGATTCTTGAGGAAATATCTGAACATATTTTCTTTAGTGGTTAAAGGTCAACCTCTGAGGTTTTATTGAGATTTATATCTTTCACCTTGAGGGTGGTTAGTAAATGTTAAAGTTATATTGTATGGTCGTATAATTGTTATAAAATTGTGGTTGTTTTCAAAAAAAAAAATAAATAAATAAATTATCATATCAATATATATTTATATCTCATTTTTATTGGGCTATAGTTTTAAAAATATTTAAATATATATACTCCCTTCGTCCATATACAAAATAAATATTTATTTTTGGCGCGGTGTTTAAGAAATAATAGTATTTTAATTATAGTAGGTAGTTAAAAGTAGTGTAATGACATTTTTGCCCTTACTTTTTGATGTAAAAGTAATGATGTGATGTAAAATAAGAGTATTTGTGGAAAAAGTGAGGTATTTAAAATAGAAATATGTATACTTTCTAGTGGACGAATGGAGTATTAGATTTCTTTTAATTATGTATAATAAAATTATACTATATCAAATCTCTCCAAAATACTTTAATTTTTTTTAATAATAGCAATAAAAAATAAATACTATTTGAGAATTATTTTTTATAAAATCTAAGAACTTTGAATTCGTAACTCCACAATTATAAGTCTATTTGTTGTGAGACTTAACAAAAAAATAATAATTAGGTAGAAGTTATTCATATATAAATATAAATGATAAATATATTTTATATTTTATCACCTGCTTTGAATTTGAAAAATTATATGATGTTATATAAATAAATTTTGACTTAATATTTTCAATGTAAAATTAATTTTAGTATAATATAAAAATAAAAATAAATATTAAACTTAATATTTATTAAAAAAAATTAAGTAAATAGTAAAATATGTACCTAATTTTTTGAACCAATAATTGGAAAAAGAAAAAAATTAATAAATAGTAAAATATTTATTTAGTTGAGATAGCATGTTGAATTTAATTATCATAGTGGAATCAAATAAAATGTTTAAATTGATTAAATTATTCTTATTTACATAATAGATACTATGGTAATTAATAATGGGTGTGTTTGTTTGGAGGATTTTCTCCCAATTTTATTATTTATTTAAAAAAAATTAAATTAAATACATATTTTTTATTTTTTATATTATACTAAAAATTAATTATATATTCAAAATATTAAATTTATATCACATCGTATAATTATTCCAATTCAAAATTTTTAGTATTCAAATTTCAATTAAAAATCCAAATTCATAAATAAACACACCCATACATCAGCACGATAATCATTGGACTATACTACTGTAGTCTTTAATGGCGGAATCTTCAGCCCAAATTTATCGAGACCCACAAGCTGCTTTTGTCCAAAACCCTCAAAAGCCCAAATCAGGGAAGAGGGTTGCGTTGCGCGATTGCCTTCGTCTCCAGGGTTTCTTCTTGCCCCGCCCCGCCCTGCTCTGTTCTGCTCTTCCCTGCCACCTAAGTCTCTCTCTATTGATTTTGCTTTCTCACCGCCTAATCCTAATTCCTAACCCACTAGTTTCCCTTTCACTTTGATTCTAACTTTGCGCTGGTTCTGCCTCGAGCCATGTCGGAATTGGACCGGACGCTTCCAATGCAGGGTTCGATTTTACATTTCGTGATTTTGCTTGCTAGGTTTGTACTGATCTAGGGTTTTGGGTTCGATTAATTCATTTTTTGAATTTCTGAATTGGTGAAGGAATCGAGGAGGACATCAAGGCCTTGCAGCTTGATTCGCAAGGTAGAAATGGTTTCTTTTGGGGATTTTGTTTTATGAACATTCGGGAATAGAATTCGATCATTTTGACGTGTTTATCATTTGATTGTTTGTATTGGAAAGTTCATGTTGACTAGATTTTATTTATTTATTATTATTATCTTAAGTTTTGAGTTTGTCTTGACGAATACTTCTGGGTCTGTATTTTCTATCGATTGTTAGCCGAAGACACTGTGATGGCTGACACAGATGATGGGAAGCCTGCTAAAGCTGAAATTTCTGATAGTATGGATGAAGGTAGATTATTACATATAATTTGCTCGGAAGCTAGTAAATTGAGTTGTGTGTTTGTGACTCTGATTCATGGTGAAAATGTCCACTCTTAAAATTTCAGACATAACAATAACCTTTGTTTTGTGGTATTTTTATTTGTTATGTTGTTTAGAAAATACATTGATGGCTAAACCTGAGGACATGAAACATGATTCTGATGTCCGTCCCCAGGAATCTGATGAAGGTATGTAAAAATATCTGTTGACGGCTAAATGTGTACGTACCTGAAAATGGCAGTTTCCTTTTGCTGTGTGATCATTTGGTTCGGACAATAATGATGCAATGTAGTAATAAATTCTGACACGGTGGGTCGACGGGTTTATGACAAGATTTATGTGTAGTTACTTGTCATGTGCTCTGTAATTTTGTGTTTAAATTTACCCTTGTAATATTTTTGCCCCTGACATTGTATAGTTATGGTTATGTACATGTACGGAAAATGTCAGATTTTCCATGATCTATTACGTGATGAGATTCTTGCAATTGCTTGACGTTTTCGCTCATCAAACAAAGATAACATACGGTACTTTATCGACATGAATAGACTACTAGTTTGACACGTAAATGATAAAGCATTGGATGGAAAGGATTCAGTTGAAATGCAATAATGCATCGGTTACGGTTAATCCAGTTCATCATGCCATATTTCTTATTGTGGAAATGGTACTTTTGATTCATCGACTATTTGGTACCTTATGCTATTAAAGTGTCAGTTAATGTAGATTTTCTTGTTGGTGGTTCTTTTGGTTTTACGTTTGGTTCATTTTTTTATTTGGTTGAAGGAAAGGAAAGCTCTCCTCCCGATGAAGTTGAAGATGAGATGGATCAGAAAAAACGACACTTGAATGTTGTTTTTATCGGTCATGTTGGTGAGTACATATCTTTAAGCCTTAAATCCTTGTTTGTTTTGACCCCACTTGAGTGCTTATGATTAATATGGTTTCTTATAAGTATCTATTTTTAATGTTAATTCGGTTATAATCCCGTGGCCTCCTTGATAAGGTAAGTAGTGCCGTAGTGCACGTGCCATTGACACGTGTCACCCAAAACATGGGAAAGAAGTATAATTAATTTCCTTTATCTAGGAAAAGTAATGTATACAGAAAATTATTGGAATTTTAGAATTCTAATTTATGAATTCATAAGATATTGTTGTAATATTTCAGACATCATGTTGCTATTCATAAATGATCCGCAGATGCTGGGAAATCAACAATCGGAGGGCAAACATTATATCTCAGCGGTCAAGTTGATGAGCGTACCATCCAAAAATATGAGAAAGAAGCTAAAGACAAAAGTAGGGAGAGTTGGTGAGTAGTTTTTTGCAAAGTGCTGGCTGACGTGGGAGTTTTGGTTTTTTGTGTTATGCCACATTTTTTTTTAATCCTCATCTCTGAAGATTAAGTTGCTTGCATATGATTCATTATTTGTTTTGTAATCCTTGCTGCATTTTCTGAAAATATATGAGCTCATTTGGTTGCTGTTCTAATCTGATTAACTTTTTGCTTTAATTTTTTTCGCCATTTCAACTATTCAAAAAATGTCACATGAAGATTACAATCCTTCAGAAACAGTTTTCTCTCGTATGCACTTACTATTCAATGCAATCATATCAAATTATTACCTCTATTTGCAACCAAAGATTCATTTTTTTGGCTTTTATTATTGTTTCTTTTTCAAGGATGCACAAAAATTATTACTTAATTTATATTCAATTAAAGATCAATTGTTAGCCTGATATCCTATTGTATAATAAAGCATATTTGATGAAGTATACTGGAAAATTTTTCCACGACTTTTAAGTTTTCTATTATACAGAAACATGGCATATGCATGTAATGTCAATTGAAATTAAATAAGTCTCATAAGATTAGTTTGATTGATCTTCGTACTAACCTTCTTTGACATAATAGGTACATGGCATATATTATGGATACAAATGAGGAAGAGAGAGTTAAGGTATTAATCTGTTTTGTTGGCTGCCTAGTTAATGATATGTGCATTTCATCCTTCAAATGCTTTGGGATGTCTATTATATGTTCCCTTAATGATTATTATTTTTTTATAATTTTGTCATAGGGGAAAACTGTTGAAGTTGGGAGAGCTCACTTTGAAACAGACACTACTAGATTTACAATATTGGATGCCCCGGTAACATCTCTCATGCCATGTTATACCTTTGATTTTTGTGGAAAATATGAATGCTCTATTTTTTTCTGGATAAGTTGTAGGAAAGTACTTTTCGTTCTTTGAAACAAATACATAGTTCCATGGTTGTTATCTTGTACAAGTATACATAAAGGGAAGATTGTGGTTGACTTACTGTTTGAAATGTTAAATATTTCCTGATAGTAAATATTTTGTGGGGTTGGTGGTAGTTCTTACTCTACGTGTAAGTTTCTGTCTGGATGATGTACTTTGTGAAGCTTTTATGTATTTAGATGCCAGCATATTTCATACAACACTTAGAAAAAGGTAAACTTACAGATTAGCTGGTGATGCCATATTTGATGTGTATACACTACAGTTTAAGGGAAGATAATGAAGTAGCGGCATTGTTTGGGGAAACTACCGCCAGAAGGATGTTAACTTTCAATAGCTTCTGTTCCTTCTGTCTTATCAACATTACCATTTTTTATTATCATATAAAGATCTAGTGTAAAATAGTATCCAACAGTCAGCATCATTGGTGGAATTGATTACACATGAAAGGATGAACTAATATCTATCTTTGAAATAACCTTAGTTCTATTATTTCGTTAACTCTTAATGTTCAATTCATTTTATAGTCCTCTGTTTCTGTTTCCATAGTATTATTAAACAACTCTAATTTTCAGGGTCACAAAAGTTATGTACCCAACATGATCAGTGGTGCATCTCAAGCAGATATAGGTGTATTGGTAAGTTTTCATCTATGTGTGAAAATCTTATCGTCTAAGTGGATTTCTGGTTTTCATGGTCTCTATAATTAAATTACACCTCATGCTGACCCAGGTAATTTCTGCTCGTAAAGGAGAATTTGAAACTGGTTATGAGAGGGGTGGACAGACACGCGAACATGTCCAACTAGCTAAGACGTTGGGAGTCTCTAAACTATTAGTTGTTGTGAACAAGATGGACGAGCCCACAGTAAAATGGTCAAAAGAAAGGTATATTGAAGCAAGTTTTTTTTACCCAATCTTTGATTTTAGTTCTCGAATACTCATGCTATAAATATTTAAATTCTGCAGATTTGATGAGATTGAGTCGAAAATGTCAACGTTTTTGAAGTCTTCTGGTTATAACGTAAAAAAAGGTAACATAGCATCTCCTTGGCTTCTTGTCATTTGATGGTTTATGATCTCAAATTCGGAAGGCAGTCCTCTCGTTACATTTTGAATCACAGGGATGTACCCAGAAAAAGAAAATTGTGGCTCAGATACCATATTACATTTTGGAAGAATTTTTGAGTTCTTAATTAATAATGAAATGACCTATTTATAAGCATGGTACAGACAGATAAATACAGAATGATAACAATCAAATATAGTAGATTTGCTTGAATAATAATCCCCAGATCTAAATAAAATATTAATCAAAATATCTATAAAAATATATCTCAACATTTGTCTAAAAAGTTTCTGGACTCTTAAAATGGTTGTTTTTAAGCTGCTACAACTCGGATGCACTAATATTAGGTGTGTGGCCCTTTTGATTGTTTTTGCTTATGGTGTAAAAATCATGCCATCACATTAATATTTTTCCTACCTGAATTAGGCTTCGCTTCAGAGCCAGTTGGAAAATAGATTGTAAAATGTTGCAGTATTATCTTGAACCTAGTTATCTGCTGTGATTAGTATAGAGCATTACTATACTTATGTTAAAGGTTTAAAAAATTAATTTGCTGGATATGAAAAATATGTTTACACTGAAAAGTGCATGCAGAAGAAAGTATTCTATATATTCTCTCTCCAGTTTGTTTTTCAACTAATTTGTTCCCTATTTGATACATTGTCTTATTATTTAAGGAGCACCTTGAGTTTTGTTTTATGTTTTTGAGAATGTCTTGAGTTAAGCAGGACAATACTATGTGATGGCGCTTGGGGAAATTAGTCTTTGATATTAACTATTGAGATTTGTAACACGCATCAAGTAGCATCTGTATTTTAGTGAATTTCACGGTCTTACATAATGAGATCTTCCTGGCAGTACTTTGACTTTCATGTTTGTTCCTGGTTTGAAGAATAATTGAGTTAATTGCAAAAATAAGTATAATTGATTGATTGATTGCTTTTTTTAGGTGTAGGAGGGTTACTGCATTGTGCAGTTACTTAGGGTGTGTTTGGGGGATTGGATTTTAAATACACTATTCATCTCATTCTTCCCCCCTCCAAAACATCAAATCATATACCTATTTTTTATTTTTTATATTATACTAAAAAATCAATTTTACATTCAAAACATCACGTCAACACCTATTTATATCACATCATACAACTATTCAAATTCAAAATTTTTACTATTCCTAACTCAAAATCCAAACCCCCAAACAAACACACCCTTAGTAGTTCTAGACTCTAGATATTAGAGAGCTTGTTTATTAAGGGTTTGTTTGGTTTAGGTTTGAAATTGAGTTTGTGATTTGAATTTTGGTATAAATAGTATTTTGACATGATATTTTGTAAGAAAAATAATATATTTTAATTGGGAACTGTGCGGATGAATAGTATTTTTTTTTTTAAATAAAAAACAAGCACACCCTTTAATATTCCAATGTCCTCACTCATGAGCAGGTGATATCGTTAGGATTATAACTTATTTTATCTTTTTTTTTTCCCTTTCAATCATTTAGAATGTGTTCACTTAGTGTTTTTCATGTACAAGATTTCCCAAAATTATTATTCAAACAATATAATTCATAATATATAATATATACACAGCATGAAAGTCCATTAAATACACAACAGTAAACGGAAACACACAAAACATCATTTGTTATAATACTTCCACAATTCCCCATACCTCAATAAAAATACCTAAAACTATAAATACTAAACAAACTTGGATATTAGTGCTTTCACTCAAAAGCTTGAGCATTAAGAAGGTTTGTCAATTTTTTTTTGCTTGTGGTTGTTTACAGTTCATCATTTTACTGAACTTATGTCTGGTAGAATTATAGTTGGGTTGCTTATGTATATTTAGGGTGTGTTTGTTTGGGGGTTTGGATTTTGGATTGGGATTTGAATAGTAAAAATTTTGAATTTGAATTGTTGTATGATGTGATATAAATAGAGTTTGATGTGATGTTTTGAATGTAAAATTGATTTTTAGTATAATATAAAAAATGAAAATAGGTGTTTGATTTGATGTTTTTGGGGGGAAAAAATTGGATGAATAGTGGAAATCCTCCAAAATCCTTCAAACAAACACACCCTTAAAAAACACAAGGATTTTTCAATCCTATTGCGAGGTAGATTGTATGTTTATATCTCCTTGTCTAGGTTATGCAGATCTTTAAATACAACCGATATGATGAGGAATTAATATTGTATATCCATTTGCTTTTGGGAGATTTCCTAGAAAATTCTTGCTTTGAAATTATCAACTGTCAATTTCTGGCCCCTATCTTTCTCATCTTTAAAATTTTTTGTTGGGTTGCAGATGTGCAATTTCTTCCAATATCTGGTCTCATGGGAACAAATATGAAGACCCGGGTTGACAAAAGCACATGTTCTTGGTGGAGTGGTCCATGTCTTTTTGAAGTTCTTGATGCCATTGAAGTTCCACAGGGTGATCCTAAAGGTCCTTTCAGGTTGCTGAACAAGAATCCTAATGAAATATTTTTGATGATTTTTTTCATGTATAATATGCTTACAAATGTGTCCGATTCTTGTTACAAGTTGTCTATTTAGTTGTCACTATGTAACACTCATGACGTAGTCTAGGTTATTGATGGTCAATGTCTGTCACTCGAAATTGTACCTTTATTAGTGGCTGCAGGAAACTTAAAATTTATTCTTTTGTTCTTACAGAATGCCTATCATTGACAAATTCAAAGATTTGGGAACTGTTGTTATGGGGAAAGTGGAATCCGGGAGTATCTGCGAAGGTGATAGTTTACTGGTCATGCCAAATAAGGTGATTTATTTAATTTTTTTTTTTTTTTAATTGTAGTTTGGTAAAGGACATTGACAGTAAGTATTATTGAACTTCATTACATTTTTATGTGCAGGTAGCGGTGAAAGTTGTCTCCGTTTATTGTGATGAAGTTAAAGTGAGGCGGGCTGGACCTGGTGAAAACTTGCGAGTCAGGATGTCTGGGATTGAAGAAGAGGATATCTTGTCGGGTTTTGTTCTATGTAGTATTGGTATGTGTTTCGTTTTGATCCCTTGGTTTCACTTGCTCTTATGAATGGGTTTTTCATTATTGATTATGCTTGTCCAACTAGTTACCCTTTGGTGAAATGGATCATAACTCATTCAGTATAAAGTATAATTTCTTAGCGTGCATGCTAATCCAAATTGTTATTATTGAAATGGCTGTAACACAAGTTGAAAATTAATAACGTGGTAAATGATAATGAGGATTAAAGGATTGACAGAACTACCTATAGCATCTTTGTTGAAAAACTTGAGTTTAAGTTTTTTTAATCTATTTGATAATAGATATTGCTTAATATATCATAGACACTGAATATTGTGAAAGTTTCTTGCAGTTTCAGAGTTTTAATTTGTTTATTTACCACTGACCAAAACCCATATTGTGTGCAGAAAAGCCAATCCCTGGTGTATCTGAGTTTGTCGCCCAGCTGCAAATTCTGGAGTTGCTTGAAAATGTATACAGAATTTTTTATTAGGATTCTTTATTTGTTACTTGTGTTATTTTTAATGAATAATAACATGCTCCCTCTGCCCAGGCAATCTTTTGTGCGGGGTACAGAGCTGTTCTTCACGTCCATGCAGTGGTGGAGGAATGTGAAATTGTTGAGTTGATTCGACAAATTGATCCAAAAACCAAAAAGAGTATGAAAAAGAAACCCCTCTTTGTTAAGAAGGGTGCTTTGGTTGAATGTCGCGTGCAGGTTAGCAATTCTACCCCTACCATTTTAATGATTTAATGGCGTCAATGTCATTTCAAAATGTTGTATTTCTAAAACCTTTATAGGGTGTGTTTGGTTGTGATTTCAAACCGAAATCAACACTATTCACCCGGGTATGATTCCAATAAAAATACACAGTTTTCTCTTGTAAAATACTATTTAAATAAAAACTCAAATCAACTTTCATTTCAAATCACAAACCCCAGTGACTTTTTTTTTTTTTTCGTTTTCCTTTTTGGGGGGGGTGGGGGTGGGTGGAGTCTGTTTTGTTTAAGTATTTCAATTATTACAATACTCAGATGCTTGGTAAATATGATGGCATTCTACTTCTCAGGTGAATAACATGATATGCGTTGAGAAGTTTTCTGACTTTGCCCAGCTTGGACGATTCACCCTTCGGACTGAAGGTGCTAAAAATTGCATTCTAGACTTTAATTAAACGATTTCAGAAACGTGAGGTGCTAAAATCACTGAATTTTACTTTTGGCAGGAAGAACTGTTGCTGTGGGAAAAGTTACTAATCTCCCTGCTGCCTAAGCAAATCTTGTCGTCTGAGGTTGGCACTTTTCTTTACTTGCATACCGAGCTAATCCTGTGACCATTGTTTGGAGTGTATTAATTCTGCTACATCAGAAACCAAAGCCCGTTCTAGCTTTTTGCTAAGCTTTTATCCATTTTAGCCGTACACTGGAAAGTTATTCAATGGGCAAAAAATCACATTTGGTTTCTTGATTCGATGAGCACTGTAAACTCTAGCCAGACAATTATCGCATAAAATCTTTTCTGGTATGGCAGTTGATGCCATTGTGTGCATTTCTTCTTATGGCAGGCAACGAGAAGCAGCTGGCAATTGCTGCCATTGGCTAGTCGCTCGTAGTCTTACCCTTTTTTTTCCGAGTGTATCCTTATTAAGCGAATACATGTTATATGATGATGATGACATTGTTTTGACCCTTTTCCTCAACTGAGGTGTATATGATTATTATGACTTGGTTGTATTTCCTTTGTGGTGGCCATTTATTTTTATCAGATATATTTACAGTCTGAAATATAGAAAATACTTTTTGATTCGATGGTTTATCCTGCCTAGTTTTTTCTTCCACAGCTGTGTTTTTTTTTGTTCGTGTTTTGGTATTAGAAACTACTATTGGGGTTTTTGTTCTTTTAGTGTTTATGATTTGTTGGGATTTTTGTTGGTTGTTATTTGGAATTATGAAAGTGTTTTATAGTAATTTTAAGTATGTTTTAATAGTTTGTTAGAGAAATTTAGAAAGAAAATGTGCATATAATTGAGTGATTGGTGGGTGGAAGGAGTATAATTTTATTGAGAAATTTGGAGAAAATTGTGTTTATTGAGAGGTGTGTAAAAGAAAAAGAACCATTATTGTCCTTGTGAAAAGCTTAGCATCAGAAATGTTTGTTGCAAGTTCTTGAAAAATGGCAAACAATATATATATATATATATATATATATATATTTAATTAATTTTTTTATTTATTTATTTTTTTTTTTTATCGTGTTGCTATTTAAATTCAGGGAAAAAAAATATTTTTATTAATATTTTATAAAGTACAATGACTAAACAAGAGTATTTATTAATGGAGGTTTAAATATAAGACATATTATTATTTTTTTTTTTATAAAATATTATATTTAGATATTAATTAAATAAAAATTTAAATGAATACTTTATTTTAAATTAATTTTAATTTACAATTGAATATTTTTTTGTGAGAATATACATAAATAAACAGAGAGTTGTTCATACTACAATGAATATACTTCTCTGTCCTAAATCAAAATCAAATATTCTTTTAGTAACAAAAAAGATTCATATCCTTTATTTATTTTTAGTATAATAGAGTGTATTTTAGAGTTTTGTTTTATTTCTATTTTAATACTTTTAACAATAATTTGGATTAAATATTTTTAATAATAATATTCTCCCTGTCCTACATAATTTGTTCATATTTTTTATTTTGGTCTGTTGCACATAATTTGTTATTTTTTTAAAATATGATTATATACTTTAATCATATTTTAAATTTTATAATTTTTTAAAATCTTAATTAAACTTTATCTTAATCTATACTTACTTTTACTTATATAATAATTACTTTTACTAATATACTTCTTAATTACTTAATAATTATATTTACTCTTCTTTTTTACCGAGGGAGAAATGATTATAAATACAATATTTTATAATTTTAGTGCTATTCAATTTGTTAAAAAACTTCTAATCAAATATATATTTTTCATTTAATCAAATATTAATATTTTATTATTTTTAAAATCTTCAAAATTTCAAAAATTTTGAAAACCTCTCGTGTAAATGAAATCATATATTTTTTTATAAAATATTATGAGTTTGTTTGCTCAATTAATATTTTTTTATTGATACAATCCCCCATATATATTATATTATTTTACAAAAAATTAATATTCAATATTCAGTACTCCCTCCGTCCCACATAATTTATTCATATTTTCTATTTTCGTCCGTTCCACATAATTTGTCCTTTCCTTTTTTAGAAAGTTAATTATACACTTTAATCATATTTTAAAATTTTAATTTTAATTTTTTTAAATCTTAATTAAACTATTTAGTTATGTTAATCTTAATCTATAATTATTCTTACTGAATAATAATTATTTTTACTAATACATTTCTTAATTGCTTACTAATTATACTTTACCTAAATTCCCGTATCTACGGTAATAGACCCATATTACATGGGACGGAGGGAGTATTATTTTTCTATTATGGACGTAATTTTTTAAACTTCATATAAACAAATTTAACGAACCAATCAAAAAAAATATAAGGGTTTGTTTCTTTTGCAAAATTTTTCCAACACACTTCTCCCGAAAATTAATATATTAAACACAATCATTATTTTTATATTATATACATAATTTCTTATTGGTTTTATCAAAAAAAAAATTCTTCAAATACACCTGTTATGTTCGTCTAGTGTAACTTGTCTTTGTCAAGCCTAGTTTACAAGTCGATTGGGGATTTATTAGTGCACACTTTAGAGTAGTAGTTGCAGGTTCCATATTATCAAAAAAATATATATATTTTCCTCTAAACCAAAACAAAAAACAAACACCCCCAATTTTGATTTTGCTGGACTATAGGGCGTGTTTGACAGTTAGCTTACAGCTGTTAGCGGTTAGCTTAGCTGTTAGCTGATTCAATTAACTGATAGTTGTTAGCTGATTCAATTAGCTGGTTTGACCAGCTGATTCGATTAGCTGTTTGTATTAAAATATTTGGTAAAACAACTGTTTGATATTAGCTGTTTATACGTAAAATGACAATTGAGGACATTTCTATTTCACTCGTTGTTTCTAATATATTCAATTATGTTTTTTTAAGATTAGAATGTTTAAAAGTTTTTGTTATTAGTTATTGAAAATTGTAAAGTGTTATAAAAGTATTTATTTTTATTACAGTTAGATTTAAAAAATAATATATTTTTATTAAAATATATAAATAGTTTTTTTTTTATTGAAAATGATGTAAAATATAAAATAATAAATTTTTCGTGTATATATTTATTATGTTAGTTATCGATTAGTTCATTATATTTATAATTTTCAATAAATTTAATTTATTTAATTTATTTTTAGTATAAAATTTATATAATATAATTTTAATAAAAAATAAATTATTAATATTTATATTTTTTATTTTATGTTGATTTTAATAAATTTATATATTTTACAATTAAAATAATTTTTATATAAAAATTAATTATTTTAAATTTATAAAAGTAAAATTATAATATAATAAAATATTCTAAAATAATTAATAAATAATTAAAATATATTTATTTGTGTAAAATGTATAATAAATTTTTAAGGGCATATAAAGAATTATTTATTTTTTTTTTTTTACCGAAAAAGCTATTTCAAAACGTTGGGTAAGTTAGCTTTTTGAGTCCAAAAAGCTATTCGTTAATTTACCAAACACCTAAATTAGTTTTTTGATTGGTCAAACAGCTAAAAGGTCTTCTAAAAGTTATTTGCCAAACACCCCCTAAGAAATTTAAAAAAAATAGGCTGCTTTGGTTTTAACTTTTAATAATAATATTAATGTAATAACAATAATAAGAAAAATTATTGTGATAATATAATTATTTATAAAAATAAATTATTAAAAGTTTGTTTCTTTTGTAAAGCTTACTCATATTTTACTATTTAAATTTTATATTTTTTTTTTAAAAAAATATCTCTTTAAATATTATTTCTATATTAAAATCAAATTAATTTTTTTAAAAAAAAAAAAAATGTATGTAGCTAAGATAGTGAAAAGGACGAGGTACCGAACTCCACCTGATTCCTGGACCCTACCGCACTCGATCATTCCCCTCTCTCTCTTTCTCTCTATTGTTTGTTTTCTTCGCCCCCAATTCACACACTCTTCCCCTCTTCCCCACCTTCTTCATTGATCACCGCGCGATCTCTGGACATGGCTACCGTAAATGGTGCCGCCGACTTCAACACCTGCGCTGTACTCGGCGCCAGGGGATTTGTAGGCCGCGTCTTGGTCGAGAGGCTTTTGACTCGAGGCAATTGGATCGTCCGCCTCGCCGATTCCCATAACTCTCCCGACCTCAAACCATCTGAGACTCTTCTCGCCGATGCCTTGGCCTCCGGCCGTGCCTCCTATTTTCAGGTTGATGTGCGCCGTGAATCCGAAATTGCTGAAGGTATTAACGAGTTTCTTTTGATGTGAACTTGAAATGTTCGTAATGTGGGTGGGAGCAGATACGATTGAACTTCTCTTCTCAGCTAACGATAGTTTCAGATTTTTATTTTTGTTTTTTTGAAAGAAAATAAAACGAACAAACTTAATCTACTGAGATATGTTAGCTTAATGTTTATATGACTGCTTAGTTGGATGTTGAGCTGAATATTATCAACTTATTTGAGTGAATACGAACACAGAATTTCGTGCTTGCGGATTGTTGAAGATTTCTTGTTGAGCGCATGTTACTTGTTCTCGACTGCATTTGGCTTTTCTTCATCATTTCACTTTGAGTTTACTGCTTTCTCTTGCAGCACAATGTACTCAATGATGTGATGTTCTTTAGAGGAAAAATAACATGATGTTTAGGTGTTAACAATGTCGCATGCTTTTAAAAAAATCCCAACATGAATATTCTTGATGATGAGTGTGCCTAATGAGAAGGTGTTTTGATGTATGTCAAGTCTCAATGTGTTTAACATAAATATACAAGACAGGGAGCGGAAAACCCAAAGCCGTAATTAAAGGAGAATTATTAACTGGGAAGTTGAAATTGGTAGGAGTTCCTTTTTGTCCATCTTCTGCACCCCATTTTGGAAAAATATAATAACTATGGATGTGGTCATTTTGATTTTTCTTCATGATCGAGAAGCTTTTCAATCTCTTTTTCTTTTTAGTCCCAGGCATCCCACTTACGATTCAATATCAAACAGCTGCTCATTATGACCCAATATATCATGTTAATCGACTCTTTTGTTGTTCCCTTTTTTTTATTTCTTGTGCTTTCATCTTCCTTTTGAAATTGCTCTTTATTGGAAAAGAAAATTTTAAGATGCTAGAGATTATTAGCTCTATGAACTACTAAGTAAAAATAATAAATGTGATAAGTTGTAAACCTGTAAGGTACCTATAATAAAAGATGTACATATGTAGATAAATATGGTAAAAAGAATTTTGATAAGAACTGACTCCAAAAAAGAAGTTTGAGGTGTCTGATTTATAGGACAGAGAAAGTATAAACCAATGAGAATGCATGGAAAGAAGAAAGAGGAGAAAATGAAAACTCTATGATATTAGATTTTGTCAGACGTCTTAATTTTCTAAATTTTTCCATGGTCTGATTTAATATAATAATTAGATGTCCCATGGAAGAGGTAGAGAATGACAGTGTTATGTCATAGAGCATGATACCATCTCTGGGGTTCAGGAATTAGATGCCAAATGAAGCTCTTTCAGCAATAATGTTGGTTGTCAGGTCTTCCTATAGCAAGTGCTTTATTGTTTTCTCCATAAGGAATTTTCTACATACATTCCTGCTATACTTTTTTCTTCTTTCCTTTTTTATTCTCGAATCTATTCTATTCTATTTCATTCCTTTCTATTATGCTTTTCCACCCCCCACCCCCCCTCTTGTACATGTTCCCCTGGCCATGCTTGGTTTTCACTTTTCTTTCTACTGTCTTTTCCATTTTATTATTTTATTTTCTGTGTTTTTATATGCCCTTCTATCTCTGTTTCATTATTTTTGAATTTTTAAGATCAAAGCTTCGTTATGTTATTCTCTTCATGCTTCACCTCTTTTGGCCTTTTCTTTAGATTGAGCTTTTCTTTCTAATATGTTAGAAATTTTTATTTCAGTTATGTAGAACTACTAATATGTATCAACTCTCTATTTTAATTAGAGCTGTAAACAAGTCGAACAGAGTTGAGCATGTCATGTTTGAGCTCGGCTCGTTAAGGACTCGAGTTCGACTCGTGTTCGTTCGTTAAGAGATACGAGTTGAAATTTTTGTTTGAGCTTGGCTCGTTTAGCAATATTTTTGTTCGTGTTCAACTTGGCTCGGCTCGTTAAGAGAAATTTTATGTTATTTATTTATTTTTTTAAAAAAAATAAATTTAGCTAATAATAATTATAATATTTATTAATAAATTTAAATAAAAAATAGAATGCAATATAATATTTATAAAGATATATATACTTATTAAATATAAAATTATTAATTTAATTTTTCTAATAAATACTATTGGACGTTCGCGAACAAACTCGAGCTCGTTCGTGAACATAATGAGCCAAAATTTATGTTCGTGTTTGGCTTGTTTAGCTAAACGAACGAGCTCTTAGTGAGCTCAAACGAGCCGAACCAAGCTGAGCTCGCGAACTGTTCGTTTGTTTTATAGCTCTAATCTTAATGGATGAAATCTGGTTTAATTTGCTACTAAAAAATAACCTCCTAAAATATTACTTGAATAAGTTCCCAATGATTTTACATGTTGCTGAATTTGCAATTGCTGGCACTTTTTTTTGAAGGTTAAATTTGAGACATCAAATTATACAATGTGAGAGAGCTACAACCTGGTTTGTATGATGGATGAAAATTAATGAAATCAATAGAAAATAATAATAATAATAATAATAATAATAATAATAATAATAATAATAATATTATAACACTTAATATGACACATCAATTTCCTAGCTGCAGCTATTGTAGCCCTAAAATACTCATAGTTTCTGAATGAGTCTAAATACCCTGATAAATGCTACTTATGCTTTGCACAAAAGCCAAGGATACCTAACTCGGAAAGGCTTCTGCCAAACATTTTGAAATCACTAATCATGTATGTTTTCTTCGTACCAAACTTGTTTCTGCATCAATTTTTGCACCATTAACTTAGCCTTGCCCCAAAGGTGCAGTGAGAAAATTGTGCAACTAATTAGTCTTGTACACAACCTCCACTATCACCCATTCCACCTGACCTCTTTTTTATTAATATGGCATGCCAATTGTTTGTGAGACACTCATGAAGCATACAATATGGTTGGAAACAGCCTTGACTCACCACTTCTTATACTCCTGCTGCAAAGGGTGACTGCACTGAGTTGTCCAGTCGAGTGAGGTTAGAGCTCTTGCCTATATTGCGTTGCTTAAAAGCTCAACTCATTACAGTTTGAGTTTAAAAAGAAATACTTGAATAATTTTCAAGTCTAATAGACTCAGCTCATAAGGTTCAACAAGATGAAATTTGTATTTTTTTAATCATATATATATATATATAATTTAACATATACAAGGAAGAATTGAGCTCAAGTTTGAACCTAAATATATCTAGCAAGTGGAGCTCGAGCTCAGCTTAATGATGCTTGAGTCGAGTTTGAAAATCAAGTACTCAGAAAATTTATAGACTTATTTATTTACTTTTTTCATTTATATCCTAATGTCACTCTAGTAGCATAATACTTCTCTAGCTAAACCAGTACGAGGGTTATTATATCCTGCTCTTGTTTCTGTACCTATATCGTCTTCTTCAGTCCAACTCTTCCTGTATACCCCTTGTTCAGCTTGATTATTCAGTGAGAACCCTCGACCACTATCCGAAAGTGCGCACTAGGTAAACCTCTGACCGAACCTAATACCCTGCAAACTAGGCCGACAATGCAAGTCACACTAGGCAAATCATGTGTGGCAGGTCAACCTGGAGGCGTCGGGGTTTGAACCCATGACCTCACGGTCACAAGTTCACTCCCCACACCACCAGGCCACCCCTTACGGTCCATTTATTGGATTCTGGCCTTTTATTAGCTATATGGATATTTGTTTTTGGCCTTTTATTGTATTTCATTTCTATGACGTGACATTTTCTTTGAACGCAGGGCATCATTATATTAAACATGCTCCTATATTGACATGTATTTCTGTTTTTCTTTTTTTTTTTTTTTTCGCAGCAATACAAGGTGTTTCTGCTGTATTTTATACTGATTATGTAGATTCACTCCCCTCAGATTTCTATTCATGCTACAAGATCATTGTCCAGGGTAATTTTGCCCCCAGCCAGTTCCATAAGATGAAGAAATGTGCTGCTTTATATCTTGTGCTCATGTCCTGATTCCATTGATTCCTCAGGTGCAAGAAATGTAGTGGATGTTTGTCGTGAATGTAAAGTTAATCGGTTAATTTACAACAGTTCTGCCGATGTAGTTTTTGATGATATCCATGATATATATGATGGAGATGAATCCATGCCATATTCTGGTCGAGTATGTCTAACTAAAAACCTGAACTTACTTTCTTTATTTACCAATGATCATATCTTGATTTCGCTTGTGCTTGCTACAGTTTTGGGACATGGTTACTGACCTTAGGACTCAGGCTGAGGCTCTGATCATATCTGCCAATGATGCTGGTGGCCTTTTGACATGTGCACTTCGACCTTGCAATGTATTTGGATCTGGAGATAAACAATTATTACCCTTGCTGGTGACTATGGCAAAATCCAAATGGGCCAAGGTTTATTAGCTACTTTATGGTCTTTTAATTACATAGGATGGGATCTTCTATTTTACAGAATGCTATTGTATTGTTCATTAGTAATATTGCCCTATTGTTTTTTGGCGGTTAGATCTTGACCTGATGATTGTGACTTAGGCTCTTTTTACTGAATTATTTCACTTGTGATTATTTATTGTACATTGACTTAGAAATTTAATATGTATATTTTGAAATTAGTAATAGACCTTCTCATTTCAGTATATTATAGGAAGTGGAAACAGTATGTCAGACTTCACGTATGTAGATAACGTTGCTCATGCTCTTATCTGCGCTGAAGAATCACTAAGCTCCGTGTCTGTGTCTGGAAAGGTATTCCCAAACCTTGGCTGCTCCATCTGGAGTTGATGAATTTCAGTTTTTTTTTAAGTATTTTATCTTCAACTGGATTTTGTAGGCTTATTTTATTACAAATCTGGAGCCAATGCTGTTTCGGGAATTTGCATTTCTTTTATTGGAGAGCTTAGGTTACCACAGGTATCAAAGTTTTTATGCTGTTTCATGTGCTAGAATGTATCAGTAACAACTTAAGATTCCGTGTTCAGATGATCACAGTTACGTTATCATAATGGTTCTTCAAAACTCATGAACTGGATAAATAACTAAGATGCACAAGGCCAATGCTTGTAACTGATGGATCATATGCAGGATGTTTGGTAAATATTTTCAGTATCATCATTTATGAAAATGTTGACTTATTTTTATCATACATTTCTCAAACAAGTCCCTGTTAGGCTCATACATGAACATATTCACACACAAACAAGCATATATGTATGTCTGAACCCTTAAAAGATATTCTGACATGAACCGAAGGCAGTTGTGCCCATTAGGATACTATTGGATCAGCAAAGTGGACTAATTAACCCCAAAGATGATAAAGGGGCCAAATCCCAAGGTACAAGAGGCCATCATTGGTTGAGAAGGCAATCAATTCAATTGTCTGAAGAAAGGGCAATTCTAATTGCTGACATCAGCTGCAGAAGGTGGTGACTTAGGCAAGACATTAGATGCTGGGGAGTCAAGTGTGGCAAAAGTCTAGAATATGTGCCTTGTGCTCGAAACAGAGGAAGAGTTCTGAGGTTGATTGGAAACTAGGGTTATGGGAAAGGATAGAATCATGGCTAGAAGGATGGTTGCAACTGAGAAAGCCCAGATTGTGGTTGAAAATCATTATGGTTATCCCTCAAAGAGTCAACAAAACCGGACAATCATGATTAACAAAAAAATAACATGCAAGATTCTAGTTAGGCATTAGTTGTAGCTGTATCATTAAGACTATTATTCCTATATTTTATCAATAAAAAAGTCTTAGAGTCAATAGGCTTGGTTTTTAGGATTTTAGGTCTTTGTTTGGAATAAATGGTACATTTGTCAATGATGAATGATGTGAAATAGCTGGAGTAAAATGCTCTTCACATGTTATTCTGAGTTTTGCCATTGGACTGGAAGTACATTTAGAAGTGATTCCCCAATTCTTAATTCATGAGCTGTATGTTTCCCCAACAATGGTATAGTCATTACACTCGTTACATTTGTAAAGTTGCAATGAATTTAACTACAGTACCGAAACCTGTAACAGCTGTAATAATGTGTGGTTAACTAGAATGGCTTGGGTGACATTTTTCATTTTTTTTTTGGGATGGGGGATGGGGGAGGGAATGAGTTGATTGCCTAGGACTGTGTATCAGAGGATCAAAGATTGGTAGCCCAGTTGGTATCAACTGGAAGAAGTACAGTGCCTGTTACGAATGGCTGACATACACTGATGGAACGTAGGGTAGAAGTAACAATGAACTTTGTTGGGAATTCAATGAATTAATCCCAGAGAGGATAATCAATTCTCCCTGCTACCAAGCTAAATGCTTGAATTAATCATGCAGAGGAAAACCAATTCTCCCTACTACCAAGGCAAAGTCGTCATCAGCCCAAGACCTAATGGTCCCTCTAACCTAGATGAACTCTTTATTCATAATTGACCTAGATGGAACCTAATATATATGAGCCCATTTAAATGGACTCAAGACATTAAAGAAAAGACTAAAAACTAAACTAAGATAAAATGAAAGCCTAGTCTTAGTCATCAACCTTGTGCCACAATCAAACCCTAGTGAAATCAATCATTTTTTCTTTGTCTAATGTAATTCTCTGATCCCATATCATATACATCATAGATTGTTGATTATATATTTCAACATTTTGTAGATAAAGTCAGATTGGGATAGGAGATAGAGATAGATTAGGATAGGATAAGATTATTACTTTAATATGTTTGTTTAACCTTACCTTGTGAAATAGATAGAACTATATACACATATTTATATGGTATCAGAGCAGGTTCCTTGGAAATTTCTTGAGTCCAAGATGAGATGATAATTGATGGTGGCATGTGAAGAATATAAGTGAAGAACCTCTTGTTTATTTATGAGTTTGTTGAAGGGGTGTAATGGCATTCGTGGTTGTTAAGATTAGATTATTTCTATCATATATGTTCTTGCCTTATGTGTCACACAAAGGGGGAGTAATTATTGGGATTATGTAGCAACAATGAAGGTATTGTGCTGTTGTACATAAGATTTTTTGTTGTGTTTCACATAACACAAAATAGAAAATTGTTAGTGCTTGCCGCTTGGATTATCTCTCGAATTTTTTCCCAGTTATTCTATTATGCAATCTCACAATCCTCTTCCACAAACATCTTATCTAACACATTTTGTATACAAAACATTCCATCCAACAACTATTTCATCTTAAAAATATCAAAACCTAGACAACTTCATGGATATATTGTTGGGAAATTGCTCATTCCTTTCCCTAATCAAATCTATTAAAATTACAAGATTATCAGGATGAAATTTGATTAGGTTTGCAATTCTATAAAAAAAGATGAAGATGCACAATTGTTTCACTTCTCATGACTTCAATACATTGAAGAGAAGCCTCATGAAGAGCATTCGTAAAGAATGCATACAATGTGCTCTTTGAAGATCCAAGAAGGCTTGCTGTATGATTTCTAAGTTTGAAGACATTTTTCATTAGATAAGTATAAATGGATCTATGAATTGTTACACCTATGAATTTACATGCAAATGATAGTGATGGGCTAATTAGTTGAAGACCGACCACCTATGAACTGTTACACACAAATGATAGTAGTACTACGTTTGGAAAATGACACAATTGGAGAGTGTGGCAGGGCAAATGATGGGGAGGGAGTATCTTGTTCAGTGAATAAGTGGGAGTGTGAGGGCATGCTGAGCATTGGGTGGTTTTTGGATATTAGTCTTTGTGACAAAGTGGCTAGTAGGCCAGCTGCGGCATTGTGTGTTCATGGGAGCTCGGTAAGATTAGATCAAAAAGGGAATTGGTTTGATTACGCAAAACCTAGTCACCCCACCCCCCCTAAAAAAAAAAGAGAACTATTTAATTTCTCACTCAACCCACCTATCCTAATCATAAGCAATTCTTTCATTCTTTGTACTTGGAATTTGTTGGTTTTGCATCATGTGTTACCTTGTTTGTTTTAAAACTAAAGTGGTTTAATGAAAGAAAAACCAAGATTTGAAGCAAGGTCTAATATGGGTTCGTCATTGTAAAATACAATCAAGTCCACGGATCAACTTAAGAGGATTTACCAAGGCATTAATGGGACTATGGATCAACCATATTTGGAACCAACTCAAAAGGGAGTGCTGACTATATAGATAAGCATTGGTGTAGATAGAGCTAGATTAAGATGAGAATTAAATTTTAAGATTATGATAGGATTGTTTTCCTATATATATATATGTGTGTGTGTGTGTGTGTGTATGTGTGTATACCTCACCTTGAGGAATACCAAGAACTTAAATTTACATAGATGGTCCTGTTGTTGTCAAGGCTTTGGTTTGGGGTGGGGGGATTCTAGTTTATTGAATGGGGTTAGTGGGGGCTATCTAAGATTCAGTACTTCACCTATTGTGGTGCACTCATTAGGTTTTTCCCTTGCTTTCTTGTATGTTCAAATGTTAAGTGTGGTTTGATGGCTGTTTTGAATATTGCATCATGGATGTTTTTTATGGTAACTTAGAGATTAAATCAACTTCTCTTGTCAAAACTCAAAGTGCTATTTGAGACAAGACTTTTTCTAGCTTAATAACTGCCTTTTCTGATTCATTTTGATGGTCTAGTTGTGCTTGCATCGGCAGGCAAACTTCAATCACTAATTGGAAAGTCAGTGGCAACATTCATTATAAATTTTATAGGTTCTGCTCTCTTTGAGATCTTTTTCAATTTCTTTACTATGAAATCCTCGTATTTTTCTATAAAATTACACGATTTTCTCAAACACAACATCACATTCAAACTACCATCTAACCCAAAACACAAAATCATACACACCCATGTTTTATGGTGTGTTTGGATGTATTGGAAGTTAGTTGAAGAATAATAAATGTTTGAATTGGAGTATGTGTAAAATGTGATGTTTTGAATGAAAACTTTATTTTTGATGTAATATAAAAAAATGAAACATAGAGGTTTGATTTAATGGTCTTTAGGGGGATGTGATGAATAGTGGGAGCCCGGCCCCAAACCCATGTCCAAACACACCCTTAGGTTCATTGGATATTGGTCCAATGTGTTATCAGCTGGGTGATGTTGATGTGTCTAACAATTGATCCGGTGTGCTATCTGGCGACCTTACATGTCAACTGAATTTGATACAACAAGCTCACATTGTCCCACAACACACCATTGTTCAGATGTTTAATAAAATTTTGACTTGGTCGTGACTGAATATTTCTGTTTTAAGTTACATACATATTGTTGACTTGTCTTTTCGAAACCATTTTAGCACTATTTAATTTATTATCTTTCCTAAAATTACACCGCATTCACATTCTATTTTCCATTCAAAACATTATGTCCAACTTTTACTTTTCATTTAAAACATTTTATTCATCAGTTATTTTCACTTCAAAACATCAAAACACCATTTTGTTCAAAACATCAATGCACTCAAAATAAGTAAATACATAGATTATTTTGATCAATTCTTTTAAATTAAAAAATCCCAAAAACATCCAAATCATCAACATATGTACCACGCACAGTTATTTGTGGTGTGCAACTTAACAAAATTCTAATGTCTGAAAAATACATATAGTTATTTAGAGCTGTGTTTAAGCCACCCTAAATCCATGTTAGCGATAATTCATTTACATTCACACTAAACAAACATACCTAAAATCCGTTAAATTGTTTTGATTAAAAGAATGTAAGGGTGTGTTACCTTTTTTTCAGAAGGGTGTGTTCTTATTTGGTTGGGTTTTGAAAATTTTTAAAGTGAAAATAAGTGTTAGATGTGATGTGTTAAGAAATATTGTATATTAAATCAGTGGTGTTTTGGGTTTTGTTTAAGAATGTTTTTTTAATATAAAAACTATGTTAAAATAGGTGCAAAAATGGGTTCAACAACACAAGTAAGCAATTTGTTTGCAACTTAAGATGGCTATGTTGGTCGTGAATACAACCTTGTTAATTCATAACCATATCAAAATTTCATTAAATTCTGAACATTGGCGTGTTGTGCTCTATTCAGTTGACACTTAAGCTTGCCAGATGACTAGTCAAACCAGACACCAGACACATCAGAATGGTTGAACAGCTAGAGTAAGACCTAAAAGGATACTTTTAGGTATGAATGGGACTTAATACGTTACAAAAATTATAATGGAACCTAAAGTGTTGTGTTTGCTAATGGGAACTATAGTGAATTTTTTTCCCCTTAATTTATGAATGCAAAATTGTTCCCTGAAAATGCAATCTTATGCTAGACAAAGTGAGAGAGATAACAATCAAAAGATTCAAACCATCAGAGTATCTGCATGGATTAATGAAGTAAATGTATGATAAGCATTATTATTAGAGATTGTACTTTCAATACAGAACCAAGTGCCGCTTCTGTTCACCTTTCACAGGATTCAAGTGTAACCTTCAATACTTTGGCTGTGTGTGGTCATCTGCTTCAGTGAATTTAATCTCCAAACCGATGTCAACTTTGGGCTCTGGACTGTGGTTATTTATCCAATTATTCTTTGAACCTTATAATAATTATCCTAGGAGGCCAGTCAAATTGTTGGCGATTTTTGGTTTTTTTATGTTATCTGTTGTAATTTTGATTTCTTTTTGTATCCAATTTAATGGATTCCTCTGGCAGCCACTTGGTATGGTTTTCATATTTTCAAGTGAATTACTTGTTTCAATTCATTCCAATTGCAGGCCAGTCATAAGTCTCCCTGTGTGGGTTGTCCAATATGTCCTTTTTTTCATAAAATTGCCACATGTGAATTCAGACTCTGGAGAGCTTGATCTTCGTGCTTCTGCTTGCAAGATTGCTACATTAGGTTTACGTACGAGGACATTTAATTGCTCTGCAGCTCAGAAAAATATTCAGTACACACCAATTGTTTCTATGGAAGTAAGTTTTTTCTTCTGTGATGTTCTATATAATCTTTTCCTACTCCCTGCTTATGTGTGAAGATTAATCTCTATTTCCTTTTTTTGTCTTGTGGGTCTCTTTAGAAATATGCTCAAAATCTAAGGCTAAGTTTTATCCAGCTTCATTAATCTTCACCCTCAAACTATGTTAAGTTTTGTACATGTGAAGGTAATGTTATGATATGAAATTGAAATTCTTTATTTCAATCATAAGAACTCGTACATATTTATATAGTGACATACAAATCGTCTAAATAAGTTAAAAATCCTACAAATCTCTTAAATTGATATTGAAATTCTTTGTTTAACACATTTCACAAAATTTCTACTATTCATCCAATTTTTTTCCTCAAACAAAATACGTATTTTTTATTTTTTTTATATTACACTAAAACTTAATTTTACATTCAAAATATCACATCAACACCTATTTATATCACATCATATCACTATTCCAATTCGAAAATTTTACTATTTAAATTCAAACTCAAAATCCAAATCCCCAAACAAACACACTCTAAATATATCTTAACAATTTTCTTCAAACTCGAGAGAATCGAACCAACTTCGTTTGTCAAGAGAAACTGAAAGTGATGTAACCGGGATCATCCATTGAATAAAAGTTGGAAGCAAGACTCTCTTGTAGAGTCGAAAACAGGACTCGCTTGTTCTTAGCAGAGCTAGAGTCGAAATAAGACTCGTTCATTCACAACGGAGCTAGAGCCAGGAATGAGCTACAATGGAGCTAGAGTCAGGACTTGCTCACTCTCTACAGAACTAGAGTCAAAATAGGGTTTGCTCGCTCACAACATAGTTAGAGTTGAAAACATATGACTCGTTTGTTGTCAATGGAGTTAGAGTCGAAAACAAGACACTCAACAGAGTTAAAGTCGGAAGCAAAATTATGTTTGGTAAAGATCGAAGTGGCGGCAGCAAAGAGACTAAGACAAATACACCAAAAATCATATCAATAAATATGGTATATAATGGGTTATAGATGTATTTAGAGAGAATTTAACTCTGAATCATTTTAGAATATGAACTTGAAATTCTCTATTTCAACCATAAAAACTCATACATACTTACAGTGACATATAAATCGTCTAAATAAGTTAAGAATTCTACAAATATCTTAAATAAGACAAATACATAAATATATACTTTTTCTAAATATATCTGAACAGTTTATATACTACTTCATGTTATTTTAATAAAACATATGACTGCAACAACTTTCTTAGTTAAACAATTTTCCAATAAAGTTGTAGCAAGTAAGGTGGCTATTCATTTTGTGAATCCAGAAAAACCTAATCAAAGATGAATTGCATGTGGAGACCTATATGAATTTCAAACACCTCATATGATATTTGGGCAGCTTTCATCTCTTTCCTATCTTTTTGAGACCTATTTGGATTATATCCTTGGCTATGGGTGATGATTGGGCAGTTATTATCGTCTTATGAACTTAGCAAGCAAGATTACACAAAAAGACATATTTATGCAGGTGCTGCTTCATTTGTTTTGTAAGAGAGTCTTGCATTTAAGTCATTGATTGTTATGAAATGCCTCGTGTAAGATGAGAGGCAATGTAGAATAATAGTGAAAAATGAAATTGAATTGCTGTCTTATGTGTGTCAATATGTACTTACAAATGGCATTTTGTTTTCCAAGAATGATAGTTTCTAATTCCAATGTTTACAGTTCATTTGGTGCCATTAATAGCCCTATTCTTGAAATAGAATTCATTTATGAACTAAATCTCTAAAATTCTCTCTTCTGAAATATATTTCCAATTTAATCAAGTTTGAAAAGATAAAAGATTGAAGTTCTGTTTGTATATAATTTCAAGTTATTTTAAATTGCTTAATTTTGGAAACAGGTCTTTCCACCTATAATATGCTTTACCTATCTCTTGTGTACCATAGGTTGCTAAATGAAGATTGTTAACAAATGTCTCTGGTATTGATGCACTGATCTGGAAAACTGTCCTTCTTAAGTTTGAGTAGATATATGTCCTGGGCATTTGTTTTGAAATAAAGGATGCTGTTTGAAACAGGAAGCTCTGAAATTGACTGCTCATGCATTCTCTGATTTAGCAATAGATTCTCCTATCATGAGATACAAGGACTTCAATAAACCATCAAAAGTGGAAAGGCTTTTAGGCAATGGAAAAGGTTAGTTATTGCTATAAGCTTGATACCATGCAATATTTTTAAAATTATATTGTTTAATTGAGTTTCGAAAGATGATCCCTTGTGGAATGATGGAATCAACAATTTAAGTATTATACAAGAATGTATATACTTGGTGAGCATATTGCACAGCAGTGATGAACTGAATTTCTAACAACTGGACCACCCTGCTCCTCTTTCTCTATGTACATATATATGCATGAACACACACACACACCCACACACAGAGGTTAGTACAACATAAATTTGTACACTAATTAACATACACAATGCTCTTTTGGTAGAAATGAACAATTGATTTTTATTTATTTGTCTGCTGCGTGACAATTCAATACTTCTGCAGTTGCAGATATTTTGCTGTGGAAAGATGAGAAGGAAACTTTTCTTTGTTTCTTTTCACTTGCTCTACTTTATCAGTGGTTTTTCCTCTCTGGAAGAACTTTTATCTCATCTGTTGCTTATCTGCTCCTGCTGACCGTTTTAATGCTTTGTGGCCATTGCATTCTACCGTTTACTGGGTAAGTGAGATGCTGAAAACAATATATTCCCTCTTTAATATTGTCTGTTTTGTCTTCTTGTAGTTTATACGTCAATACCTCTAGTTTCTTTTCTTTTGAAGAAAAGTATGTTATTCTGCAATTTTTCTTGGTTGTCTTGTTTTAATAGTTTCTCATTGCTTTATGTGTTTCTATTGGAAATCTTTTCTATGCATTTCATTATTTATGTTCCTGAGCAACTTAAAGGTATATTTGATACAACGGAGAGGATATAGAAAGGAATGATGAAATGAAAGAACTTAGGAATAAAAAATGGAATGGAAAAATCAAAACCTTTTTGCAATGCAATTAATAGTACGTAGTTTTATTGAATTCTCTTCATTTCTCATGCAATACAATTGTTGAAAGAATATTACACATTTAATAATACAAATAAAGTAAATTTAATATTTTATGTATTTTATGATATAACGAGTGAAGTAATATCAATAGTACATTTGTTCCAGAAAAAATTGTTATATTATCAATATGGGCTTATTGAATGTTATGAATTGCTATTGAATTGAGAAATCATTATTCAAATATGGTTTGAAAGATTACCTTTTCATTTTCTTCCTCTTAAACCATTTGCCATTCTCCAGTGGCAACCATTTGAATTGGACTCACTTCTTACACCTTTGGGGAGTTTCGTGGTTTTGGCCTATGATAGTCTGTGACCTTTTGAACATAGGAGGTATCTAGAAAATTCCAAAATGAATTGCAAGGTCCAGACTGTCTCTGTAAGCCTTTTATGTAGGAGCTGTGGAAAGCCTGCAGTACGGTCCTTTAACGGTGAGGAATTCTCAGTCGGTTGGGTTATCATCCACTCTTGTCTTATAGTTGGAGACTGCTACAGATCAATGTTTCCTTCCATGATGTCTCTCTTGCTTTCATGGTGAATAGTCTTCTGAAAATATATCACAATCTCCCAGCTGCTTCTACTGCCAAACCTTCAGAAAAATGGTTGGTTCTGATGCAGATTGGTGGGAAATAAGCACAGATAGTTCAGCTTTTAGCAAGCCTGGGCAGGCTGATATTGGTGCCGAGATCAGACACCATAAAGGCCAGGCCCTCTCTATTCTCTCCAAGTCCCTTGTATTGCTGATTCATATGAGGCAAAATTGCAGGCAACCATCCAAGGGTTTTTTATTGCTTATTGATCAGGCAAATAATCCTCTTCCCAAAATTGTTCTTGAATGTAACTCCAAGTATGCATTAAGTTATATCCATGGTGCCTTAGCACCCTGAAAACTTAACTGAGATATAAATTGGCTGCAGTGCCTTATCACTTGATGTCCTCTAGCCTCTTTCCAATACACTCCTGGATTTACAGACTTCTTTGCTGAACACGGTGCTCGATGGAGCAAGGAGCTGTCCTTGTGGCTCTAATGCTTCATCCTATGAGCTTCTTTACTGTATTTCTAAGTTACGCACAGCCCTAAGTGGCTCCTCATTCCTACCCTGTAATCTAATGATTTTTCTAGGAATTAATATATCATTTCCCCTCCAAAATAAAAGAATACCAACATACTCTTACTTCGGAAGGGAGAATTCAGCAACTATAATTAGATCTATGAGAGGTTCTAATTTCCAGTATTAATAAGAACTTAGTTGATGATTACTGATTGCATTTTGTTCTTTTTCCTTTTATTTTTCCATGTACTCTGACTGTTATTTTATTGCCATGACATTGATCTGCTTCATGTTAACTGCAGATATGGATCTAGAATGCCTAGATTATCATCATCATGTTTTGAGATCTCAGAAGTTAATATGAGAAGCTTCTTTTTCACCATGAGATGCATATTGAATAAGCTAGATTGTCTGTCAAAGTCACTGGCAAAAGGAGAAGATTGGTCTACGTTCTTAAAGGTATGTATGTATGGCCTGAACCTTGTTCCAATTCTTTCTCTCTCACTCATGCCCACCTACACAGAGATGCCCCAGAAACACACACTCATTAAGACTTCGGGTGGTTGTGTAAGTACTTATTAACGGAGCATGCAGTGGATGGCATTCATTTCTAATTTTTTTGTGCTGCAATTAATAGAAGTTTCAAAGTATGACTTTTCGTTGGATAAACTAGGATTAGGTTTACCTTCAATCTTGAAGATTTTACTTATTTGTATGCTTCATGGATGATTTGCTATGTGGTTAAACAACATCCCGTGGTGGGATCACATTTTGTAACCATGGCGCATGGAAATACAGTGTGGATCACATTTCAAGCAATACTGTGAAGGGTAGAGTCTTTGTTCCATAATCATATTGGTTAGTTCTGTCATCTGAAGAATTGATAACCAAAACATAAATACTACACTGAAATACATAATCACCTAGCAACAAGATTAGTGACGAAGGAACTTGACTGAAGACTCAAGGGTTAACCAATCTTGACGTTAGAACACTTTAAATTTCTCTGTTAAGGGTCCATATTCCTAAAATTTATGTTGGGATGATTATTCCTCCTGCAGCATGCTTATGTCTGATTATAATACCATTTGTGCAAATCCTTTTATTTCCTAAACCTGGATATCCTTGCAATGGATAGTTATCCAAAGGCATTGGAACTCCAGGCATAAATGACATGTGTGAAGACGATCAAATTAACTTAATTGATGGATTCAGTATATCACTTATAATTAGGTTCAACTCAAAACAGTCTTGGGGATACGACGAAAGGGCTTCAGTTGCAAAGAATATGATTAGTGATATAGTATTCAATATGGAGTGCTCCTTTAGCATTTGCAACAAATAAAAACAAATATATGCTTCCTTCTTTTAAACTTTCTTGTATAACAAATAATTGGGTTGCCTACAGGAATTGTTGTTGGTTTAAGTGAGATCAAAATGCATACCCTGCAAAATGTTTTACATGATATTAAATTGATGTGGTTTTGGTGTCCATGTGTTGTCTTAGTTTCTAGTTGCAATTGACCATGCATCTTCTTGTTAAGTTTAATTGTAACTACTCATCCATAGCCATTGTTTATCTAGATGAGTACATTGATTTTTGAGAGAGTTAGGGTAGAGAGTGCACGTTTATGGAATGCCAGTTTTTTGTTTAATAAGTGATTTTCAAGAAATGGTGGATAAATATACTTCCTTGGGTTGTTAGTGGAGGTGTTACATTGTAGGTGGCTATTCTTTGTTTCTTGGAAAGTACATTGTGTCATAAAAAGATAGAAGATAAATCACAATCTGAGAATGTAGGAGTTCCTGATCGATGGAAAGACACTGAAATATAAGGTCCCTAAACACAGGGATAGGCTGAACATAGGAGGTGGGGACGATAACTATGAAGTCTGAGGATTCAGACATGCTGAAACTTGCATGCATACTGAGATATCTGTGAATCCTCTAGCTCTGACATCTAAATATGTAGAGTTGAAGCTTGTTTATGTTCAAGTTCAATTTCCACGGGGCATGGCACCTTTAATCCAACAGATGCATTGTTTGTGTCACATGTGACAGTATTGTAGTTGAATAGACCTAACTGCTTAAGGACAATATTTTCAAGGATATATGAGATGGCCAGAATTTTCAAAACATCGAGTCCGAAAGAATGGATTAGTGAAATAGACACTAAATGTTAAGACTTTCCGTTTCTGAATGTTTAGTGAAAGAGACATTTAACAATTGAAATATATGGCTATCTTTACTTCTAATGATTATATAACACTTTAGCTATATATATTGATGCATACAGAACTAACCTGTTTCCAAACTCGTGCAGGTGTCCATTTTCCTCTACTTTTGCAAGTGGATTGTTCCTCATTACTTGACCACGGCTCTTGGTTTAGGTACTAAACATCCACCGTACACTCATGCTTGATGTTAATTTTCATATATCCATAAATTTTCTTACCATGACTTGAACAATTGCAGCATTAATTCTTTCATTCACGCTGTGCTTCGTGTATGAACAATACGAGGATAAAATTGACGAGATTGCTATAATAGCATTCAGCATTGCAAAGAATGCCTCCATCTTCTTCATAAGCAAACTGCCCATCGCCTCGCGTATGGTTCCCATTCCCTCAGACAGTGATGCTACGGAAGAGTGAGAAAATTCGAATAGATGGTGATGGTGGTTGAGAACAAGCCTGGACGTCCCAACATTCTGTGTAACTACGCCCTTGTAATACTGTAAGTAACCTATGTAGAGATGCCGATGCTAGCTACTTCATGTTTTAATTAGTCTTTCTTATAAATCTACTCAGATAGTTCAGTAGTCTCCTGAAGAATGCGTTGCCAACTATTTGATGCATATCCTTCACTTAACCATTGCTTTTGTTTTTTGTTACATGCGGTTTCTTTTCTCTTGGCTTCTTCGGATTGTTCGTCTTTTTCGTCATTTTATGTTTATATATACATATATATATATATATACACATGGATGCGGAGACTCGCAGCCATTACTTTTTTAGTGCGTTATGCATAACTCCGACAAATTTAATAGTATGCAAAATAGGTTGCCAAGACAAGTTATACTAGGTAAATTTGAATTTTTTATTTTTTATGTTGATTCTTATTGCATGTAGATATGGAGAGAACAGAGTAGGGCTTCACTGAAATATGTATTATAGTACACCGTGAGAGTTGAAAACTCCCAATTGCTGCGCTCTAGGGTAAGGATTCCAAAGGATTTGCACTATTCACACCAATTTTTTTTCTAAAAAATATCAACTCAAAATATCTATTTGTTATTTTTTTATATTATTCTAAAAATTAATTTTATATTTAAAATATCACATCAATACTTGTTTATATCGCATCATATAATTATTTAAATCTAAATTCAAAATCCAAATCCCCAAATAAACGTAGAGTTATTCTTTTTTTACATGCGACATCAACTTGTCACGAAAAACTCCAATTATATTTTACACCTATATTAAAGAAGCTTCTAAAATTTCTACTTTTTTCACCTCATTAAATATTTCATATATTTATAAAATAAATTATACTTTTTCATCATATTTTATTCTTATAATATTTAATAAAAATAAAATAATTATTTAGCATAAATAAATAAAAATAATAATTTCGCACTCACGTAATAATAAAAAAAATTAAAACTTAAATTTAATAAAAATAAATAAATAATATCATAATATATTTTTAAAATAAATTAATTAGTGGACCAAAATTCTCCCAAACTTCTAGCTCGGAGTCGCATTCTATTATGTAAGTATTGATTCATAGTTGCATGTCTCGTATTGTTGTATGACCAATTTGAGTTATCATTTATTTTCACTTGATCATATTGAAATGTATCGTAATAATGCATGTAAGTGTCTCTTTTATCTTCTACAATCATATTATATAATATGATGCATGCTCTCATTATTTTACCTAGTAAATTGATATCCCAAATAAGTGATGGAGTTTTAATGAAGGCAAAAGCTTGTAATACACCAAAGGCATGCTATATATCTTTTCGAACCGCTTATTGATGTTGCGCAAATAATTGTGTTTTATAACTTTGAGACAAACAAATTGATCGAACAAACATTGCCCACGGAGGGTAAATTCCATCAGTAATATAATATCTCATATTACATTGATGGTTGTTGATAACAAAAGTAACCTCTGGAGCTCTGCCATGGAAAACGTCGTTAAATAACGGAGATCAATTAAGTACATTAATGTCATTGCATGTACCTGGTGTGTCAAAAAATACATGTCAAATCCATAGATCGTATAATTCTTCAGTTTCTAATATGATCTCCAAGTTCGAATTGTCCTTTCCAAGCAGCCAACCAATTTTTTTATTCCCAATGCATACAATCAATACTTCCTAGCATGCTTGGAAAACTACATATTTCTGCAGCAAATAATAATTGTTGTACATCAACAGAATTTGGTCGTCGTAAGTATTCCTCACCAAATAGAGAACATATCCCTTCAACAACTTGCTTCAAACATGCCCTTGTGGTGATCTCTCCAAGACGAAGATATTCGTCAACAGTTTCAGTAGTTGTGTTGTATGCCAACACACGTATTGCTCCTATGCATTTTTGTAATGTTGACTATTTATTTCTTCTTGTAGCATCACGTTGTTGCTGAAAGAACTCCATTTCATTGGAGAGACGATCAACGATGCGAAGAAAGACATGTTTTCTCATTAGAAACATACGACGAAAATAAGAACTTAGATACACGGGGTTATCAAACAAATAATTATTGAATAATCGAGTACGGTCATCTTTACGATTCCTCTCCATGTATGTTCTCCGTTGACGTTGCCGTGAGCTTTCCTCATCTTAATTATTGATGTGTTCAATCTCTTGATACAATTGAGCATATGTTTATGCCAATTGGCACATATTTTCCAACTCTTCGCGAATGAATCAGACAGAGATAAGGATGAGATTAACATTTTTTTGAGAGAAAATAAATGTGTTTTAAGATATGAAATGTTGAACTATTGTGTAAATGAATTGTGCATATGAAGTGGTTACATATATATAAATAAAAAACTAGCCGTTGGGAATATAGTTGTTAGAAATATAGCCGTTGGGGAATCTGTTGGGAATATAGCCGTGAGGAATATAACCGTTGAGGAATATAGCCGTTGGGAATATATTTGTTGAGGAATATAGCCGTTGCAATGTTTACTATAAATACACTATATTTTTCACTTCATATTATCTACTTCATCTCCTTATAATCTTTTTTGTTCATTTTCTTTTTTCTATATTTTCTTCTAAAATTCCCACAAAAATTTATCCAACCCTCAAGATCCTCAAAATTCTTTTCGATTTCCAAGTTTTATGAACATGTTAGGAAATCAACTTATGTTCCTTAAATCTAATGTCTCATTTCAACCATTCAATCCTCCACCATATTATTGAATTCCTCCAAACTTTTATCCTCCAAACTTTCAACCATTCGGAAGTTCATCATCTCCTCAATTCATAATGCAAGCCACTGAAGCAAGAGGCACCCCATAATATTGCACACCTATCAATTTTTAGCAGATGATGATATGCATGACAATAAAAAAAATAAAGATATAAGGAAGGTGTGGAGCTGGAACAAAGACGAACTTCTAATCAATGCATAGATGAACACAATTAAGGATATCGTAACCAATACTGACCAACCAAGTAGTGCTTTCTGGAAAAGAATAGTACCGTACTACATGAAGAACAAGCCCGAAAGTGCAACAAGCAGAGGTGTTACTTAATATAAAAATTGTTGGAGTAAGATATGTAAGTCTGTGCAAAAGTTTGTTAGGTGTTATGAGGAGGCTAATCGAAACATGCGCAGTGGAAAATCAAGCACGGATGTCCTTAATGCAGCAAAGAAAATATATTCAAATGATGGTGAGAGCAAAGGTTTTATCCATGAAGATGCTTGACGTATACTCAGAATTTAGCCCAAATAGAAGGTCAGTTACTGTGAATCATCGCATAACAGTGGTAGGAGTTCAAAGCGAACAAAAATAAGTGAAGATGGTGGTTACTCAAGTTCGTATCCGGTGACACCATACTTTGATGTGGATGATCAAACTCCTCCTACTCATCCCCTAGTATTAAAACAAGTAAGAAGAAAGAGAAACATGTGCAAAACGAGACATTCAATTCAAGTCCTACTGAAAATTATGGAAAAAATTACGAAAAAAATAGTAAATTTAGCTCAAGTATGGAAAATATGACAGCAATCAATGAGCAAAGTTTGAAGCAACAATCCAAGAAAATAAAAGAACTTCTGAAAGCTAAAAGGTTGAACATAACGGCGAGGAAGATTGATCGGAAAGCTAAACAAATAGAATTTACTTTAAAGAAGATGGAGATGCTCATTATGTTAATGATCAAATGTGATAATCTAACTGAATTTGAAGAAGGATTCAAAAAAAAGTTGGCACAAGGATGTTTTTCATAGTTTTGCATTCAAATTTATTAGTATTTTTTTATGTATTTTTAATTATTATATGTATTGTCCGTAATTTTAATTAAGTCGTGTAGGTTTGTATTTAAATTTATAAATACTTTCATGTATTTTCAATTAATATTTGTATTGTGTGTAATTTTAATTAAGTCATATAAGTTTTTTTTTTTAATTTATGAATATTTTCATGTATTTTTATTTATTATTTGTATTTTGTGTAATTTTAATTAAATAAATTTTATAATTGAATTAATAGATATCTTATTAAATATTTTACAAAAATATTCATTAAAAAATATGTAAAATATAAAAACAATATATTAAAAATTATAATTATTAAAAATTATTTTAATAAAAATATAACTATTAAATAAATTTTCATATAACAAAATTTAAATCTAATATTTTAATTAAATAATATATATAATACTCCCTCCGTCCACCACAATTGACACTATTTGATTTCTTGTTTATCCCATTATAATTGATACTTTTCTTTTTTTAGTAAAATTTATAAAATCTAAATATACTTCACAAAAACAATTAAAAATAATTAAACACACAACAATTAATTAAATAAATAAGACAATAAAATAAAATAATAAAATAAAACAAACAAACCCAGTTATTTCATTCCAATTTTAGTCATTGGTTTCTCCTGCTCAAATCCTAAATTCCTTCGCGATAGATTCTTTCTCCACCACGCTTGTTTCCGATGGTCGCCGGGTACTCACCGCCGCGCCGCTAACGAGGATGTCGAAGAGAGAAATCGTCGGCTACAATTCTGATGCCACCGGATCGTATTTTCCTTCGGTGCTGCCTACGCCTGAATCTTATGAGTGTGTACCTGAAACTTTATTTTTCGAAAAATTGGTGGTAGCGCTGCTTGACGACGACCAGGTGACCCTCTCCGGCCATGTAACTGATACACCCCCTGATTTTGAAGGTTATAGCCGTGTTGGTGAGTTTCGTTCTTTCTTCTGTCTAGATTCACCACTGATTTTCAAACGCCCTTTAACAATCGTAGAGAGTTCAGCCTGCTCTACTTTCCCTCCATATTCATACTGTGAGACTATGAATTTTATCTTTGATGCATTATTTTATTTTATTTTATTTTTTGTATAAAAAAATTATGTCTAATTGTGTTTATATCTATTGTACTGCAATTTAATCGTCCATTCATTGCATTTGGCATATAGAAAATTTAATTGTCACATTTGGTGAATATGATAGTAGGCTATTGAAATATACAGAATGTTAAAAAAAAAAGAAAAAGCTATGTGCTAATCAGGATGTTAGTAGTCTTTACATAATTTGGCGGCGGCCTTTCGATAATAATATAATGTCATTGGTTTTTATACGTGAATGTGAGGAGCATTAATAAAACCTAAGTATCTTTACTAAATATTGCAATACAAAAACAAAGTCTTA